CTCTCCTCCAACCCAAGCCAAGTTTATCCCTCCTTCTCTGGGATTCCTCAGCAGCTTGTACAGATGTCAGTTTACCTGGATCTACCCTCACCTGTAGATTTTTCACTAGCAGTCATAAATTCCCTGCAGAGAAGTGAAGGATATGAAAGTTATTTCGCCCCAGGACCTTGATTTCCCACAGGCATGGTTTTCCTTGGTCCACTAATCAATGTGATTGCATGCAGGGATCTTGTGGATGAACTTACAGACATCCTCACTCTAAATTGTTCCAGATTCGAAAGCAGATGCTATGGGGCATCACTGCCTATGAGAACAATCTGGGTCCCCTGCACGTTTGGGTGCCGCTGTGTGGAGTGAGGGTCAAACAAGGCACATTACCCAGTCAACTCCTTTCTGCTCAGCGCAAAAATATGGAGGGAGCTGGTATCCACGTGTGTGCCAGCCTCCCTCGGGAAGGCCACACCTCCCCAGGAGACCAGGCCCAAGGCTGGCTGGGACCTGGGGACACTTCTCTGCTGCTCCGGTCCCAATGTGGGGGGGAAGAGCAGGACCAAGTCCCGCCTCGCGAGCTCCAACAGTCTGCCTGGCCTCCAGCAAAGTCCTGAAACATCACACGTCACCTCCAGAGCCTCAGCCTCCTTTCACTTCCACAGACAGGAAGAACAGGCATCGGTGACCTTGCGGAAGCGGGACTGGTCAGAGTCACGGCACGTTGCAAAGCAGGCAGGCAGGCACGTGGCCGGCGTATTGTAGGGAGCACAGAGCAGGACCCCACGCCTTTATCCTCCCAGTGCCTAGATTTACTGAGTCAGCAGCTATATGTGGAATATTATCACAGTGCCACCATTCATAAAGTGGCTCCAAACCCCACTCAGGGAATTACCAAGCTATTATGGGGCAGAAAACCCAGAAACTTTTAACTGATGGAAAGGCTGAGACTGAGAAACAGGGTGAATCAGTAATTTAGGGACCGGCAGCCGTGGGTGCTGGACAGCCAAGTCAAGATTCTGGTTGTGAGTCTGGGACAGTTTGTAGTTTGAGGAGGGGCACGGCTCTAACCTAGCCTCAGCAGCTCACCCAAGGGCCCGTGGAGGACGTGCCGAGACAGAGGAGCTGGGGAACAGAAGACGAGAGAGGGGCTGTGGACGCCTCCACCAGCACATTGCTGAGGGTCGGAGCAATTTGCAGAAATGGGGAGAACGAGGCAAATTTGGAAAGTCTGAAAGACACAGAGCCAGGAAAACTTGGTGTGCTATTAAATTAGTAGCTAAAGATAGAGTCATCAAAATGAATGTCCCAGCTCAGGTGCCTGAGTAGGTCATGGTGCCATTAGCAAAAGCAAGTGGGAAGGACCATTTGTTCCAGACAGGGCAGATGAGAGGCCAGCAAGGAGGTCAAGAACCTGGCACTGGATCTGTTGAGGGAGAGGTACCCTGGCAACCTCCAGGCGAGTATGCCAAGTACACATGCCTAAACCTCAGGGCAGAAGTTGAAACCGGAAATATAGCAGGGAAGTTATTAAATCTATTTAAAAAAAAAAAAAAAGAAAGAAAAGAAATGCATCAGCCTTGGAGTTGGAGGAGGCATGGAGAGAAAGGAGAGGGTTGGAGGCTAGCCCCATGTTTTGTAGCCCATCCAGGAAACCCCAGAGAGGAGAGGTCTGTGCAAAGGGAGGAGCAGGCACAGGGGACTAGGAATCAGGTTAAAAGCAGCGGGACAGTGTCCTTACCACAGTAGCTGCCCTTTTGCCGCCAAGGGGTCCCAGCAGACCCCTGACTCTACAGAGGAGACCCAGCCCCACAGCTGCGCGTACCGTGTGCTTTTCCATGCGTGCATGCCCACGATAAAAAGCTGGGGCCACAACTTAGCCAGAGTTAGAGACTAACAACAGCTTCTAATGAAAATAGAACAAGTTTAAAACAATACATTCTAATTAAAGTCATTCAAAACTTACCGACTTCTTAGTTCTGGAATTTCCATTTAATATTTTCAAACCACAGTCAACCACAGATAGGTGAAACTTCGGAGAGAAAACCAGGGGTAACGGTGGGGAGAGGAGCACATGAACCATTTTCTACCTGGCTGACAACAATGCCCACAGCCCTGGCTGCCGTCCTGAGGGATGGAACTGTCCCTAGGTGAAGGCTCAGCCCTCTCCCTAAGTGGCTCTGTGCTCTTCACAGATCCCAGTCCCAAGGCGAGGGGAAGAAGTGCAGGGAGGTCAGTAAGCGGGAGTAATACCCAGTTTATGGTGGGGACACCGAGCAGGACAGATAATAGAAAAGTGATACTTATAAGTGCCTGGTCACATCAAGGGTCATCAGGGCCAGCCCACTCCACCTCCAGCTCCCGCTGCCTCTGCAGCCTCTCATGGCCTTGCAGGGGCACCCAGAGACTTAGATCCATGCGCCCCAGCACATCCTGACTCCAAGTCCAAGGGCTCCTGGCTGCCAAACTGCGATTGCAAAACTCCTTCTGATGATTTAACTATAAATGAATCTGAAACATACGGACTGAATTTCCCTTCAACTACGCACTCAAATTTTCATTTGATTAAAAAATAAAAAAGCTCTTTTGACAGATTATGAGGGGGGAAAAGGGAGAAGAAAAACAAGGTGATTGTTATGCAGAGGCCAAAGAGGTTTGAAAAGCAGGGTGCTCCACGGAGAGGGCACTTTGCTGTCCTTCCCAAGTGCAAGTCAAGTGAGAGATTTTACAGGTGCCTGGGGATTTTTTCAGCCCTCCCCAAGGGTGCAGCAATACTGGAACTGATGGCAAGGTGGGGTCAGGGGTGGGGTTGCTTCAAGGACTACTGAGGGGTCCTGGGCAACTTCAGAACAACAGATGCTTGTATGCGGGGCGTGTGTGTGTGTGTGTGTGTGTGTGTGTGTGTGTCTGAGCCATCTAAGTATCTGTCAGTATCCATATATAGAAAGACACACAGATATATTTAGGAGCTATAAATATGTAAAGATTCCCAAGTAATTGCTTGAAAAACAAAAGCCCATTCTATATATAAAACTTAACTCTTTTCCAACTGGAAACTGAACCCAGGGCTTTGCACACACCACGCAAGCACTCTGCCACTGGGCTACATCCCAAGCCTGTTTGTTTTTTTATTTTGAGATAGAATCTCCCTCAGTCTCTCGGGTTGGCCTTGCTTGACTGAACTCATGATCTTCCTGTCTCAGCCTCTCGAGTGGCTGGGATTACAAGTGTGTGCTCCTCACCCAGCTTACTTTTACTTACATACGAATAATGTAAAGGCTTAGATGTTTTATATGCACTCAAAAATATCCATAGTAGTGTGTATGGTGAGTATTTACATTCTTTAATGTATGCAGCATAAATATAGACATAGGTATAATCCAACAAAACACTAAGGGGATGGGAACTTATAGGAGTAAGTGTGGATGCTTCTAAACCAGATCCAGCTCCAATCTTAACCCCTAGCTTTAGGACGAGGCCCAGGCTAGCTGGAGGCCTCTGAGCTGTCTGCTCACCTCAGAGTGGCCTAAGGGGTGGGCTCTATCAGGAGGTCTGAGTTGGACACATGGAGAGGGAGCCAGACCCATGCAGAACAAAGACCCCTACCTTAGAATGCACAGGTCCTAAATATCTGCACATCTGACCTCTGCCAGGACCGGATATTTCCAAGCCATGCATTGTCTACAACTCCCTGTGCTAAAAGTCTCAACAGCCAGTGGAAAACATCCAAGAAGGTGAAGAGAAATCCCCTCAACCACAGTAACCATACTAATCACCTTCGCCAAAGAAAAGCCACCTGCTTAGAAGCTCTGACTTCAAATTCTGAAGGGCCCAGAGCCAGAGACCAAATTTAATAATAGTGGTGGTGGAGGTTTTGTGTGTGTGTGTGTGTGTTTTCCATCCCAGTAGATTCTACAGTCCCATTCTTTTCTTTTTTTTTTCTTTCTTCTCCCAACCCTTTGGTATGGTTAAGAAATAGTTTTGGGAAACACTTGTTCAAAACACAACAGCAGAAAGTGGGTGAGCGGCCAATATGTTTTTCAAGAGAACTATTTGGCAGCCCTGAAATGGATTACCACACTGGTACAAACCTCGACTGACAGCAGGGTCACAGATGTCAGGAGCATGTGTGTTTAGAAATATGCACAACTGGAATCTCCGTCCCCACTCTGGGCCCTGCCGAGATTGCAAAATGCTGAGCAGTGTACAGAGAGATCATTTGGTCACAGCCTTTTCCCTGCGTAGGGAGGGGCCCAGGAAGCTACACTGCAGTTGGTGGTAACTGGAATTCCTTGACTGAGCCTGTATCAACTGGACCCTTCCATGCATGTTGCTGTCAAGAACGGTTTTCTCTCAGAAAAGCCCTGTCAGCCAGAGGGAGCAGGAATTCTCGCCAAGGCTGCAAGGCCATGGCTACACCCTCTGCCAGGAACCTGCCAGTTCTTCTGGCACAAGGCAAGACCCAACCCTCAGTGGGGCACAGGAAGTGAGAGAATCAACTGCCAAGGTCAAGAGCTCTGACTTGGGAGTCAGACTGCAATAGTTCAAACTCCAGCTCTAAAGTTCCTGAACTTCTCTGTGCTTTGAATGACCATCTGTAAAATGGGCCTGATAGTAACTGAGACCGTATCATAAGGATTCAACAAGACAGTGACATAGCAAAATGTCTGATGCACAGTGAATTTTCAGTAAATGGTAGCTAATATTTTGCTACTTGGTTTTTAGATCCAGCCTATGAAAATAAAAAAAGCAAGAAAATATGTTTTGCTCAAAATGACTCTAGGAAAAATTTACTATGAACTGCATGTGAAATTCTTCTGTTTGATGCTTTCTTCTTTTTTATTCTTTTCTAGTGGGCTATGCATTTGGTAGATTCATATGTGCTCATAACATACTTCTATTTTCACTATTTTCACCTGTCAACTTTCTCTTCACTTTGAGTCTTTTTCTTTAACACCATAAGAGCTTATGTTTATTATCGAGCCTGCACCCAAAATCACAACACACATATCTCATTTCATTGATTCATACTTTGATTCATTGATACTAATTCATTGATTCATACTTACATTCATTTACCAGCAGCACTGAGACATTGCAATCTGAATAAAATGTGGTTCCTAGTCTGCTGGGGTCATCATCGGAAGGAGATAAACATGGACAGAATGAAGCCCGAGGCCCAGGCTCCCACCCTCCCGGTAAGCCAAAAAGAGAGATGGATTGTGACCTGAGAAACCTGGGAAGGCTTCACGGTGGGCTCAAAGATGAAAAGGGGATCAGTAACTAGAAAGGGAAGACTCTGGAGGAAAGAGGTCAGAATTGAGGCTCCGAGGCAGCAGAGTCTGGAGTGCTTGTCACCGCAGAGGTGCATGGAAGATGAGGCCACAGAAAGACGTAGGGGCCAGACAACCGAAGAGCTGAATTCTCTGCTCAGGAGGTGGCGGTCCTTCCCTGCAACAGCGAGGAGATGCTGATCCATGTGACCGCGACTTGTCCATTTGGACTTGGCTCGGATGTCACCTTCCCTTAGGCTTCCTCCTGCCCTCAGCCTGCTTCCACCTTCTGTCCTGTGGCTTCCCAGCATGCAGCTGGACTCACTTCCCCTCCTCTTCTCTTCCAGATTGGGTTGTGCCGTTGACACCTGTCATGTTCTCCATTCTATTCCTAGTGCTGGCGTCTGCTCATCAATCTAAGAATGAGTAGATGAACAGGTAAGTGAAAGACGGTGAGAATAAGGGAAGAGAGTGAGTTAAACATGATAAAGCCGGGTCATCAGCAGGAGACTCACCAGGAGGCAGGGAACCTGGCCGGGGGTCATTTCCTTGGACAGCACTCTCCACAGCCAAAACTCAATGGAGAAAGAATTGCCCAATTTGAAGCACAGAGATGGCTTGTGATGAAGACAAGCCACATCAGAGATCTCAGGGTTCCCAGGGTGAGCTGCATGCTGTTTGCCAGGGCTGTGGAACTGGAATATGGAATGCGCTTTGAATGTCCATCTGTAAAATGGGCATGATAGTAATTGTGACCATATCATAAGGATTCAACAAGATAGTGATATAACGTAATGTCTAACACACACTGAATTTTCTTTGTCACAGTGACATAGAAAATATGACATATGACAATTTACTATGTCACAGTGACAAGGACTGATGTGATAACAGCATCAGTTACTCATGGAAATGGGCCACAAGGAAATTCATAAATGTACAACCCTTAGCAAGCAGCCTCTTAGCATAGTGTGGAACTGAACCCAGGGTTGCTGATTCCAAAACCTGTGCTCTTGCTTTTCAGTCATGCTGTCCTCTTCTGTCCCTCTGACATAGTGGAATCTAACTGCCTCGCTAGACATCCATCTCTCAAGGGCAATCATAAATTGCTTATTTCACTATCATTTGACAGTGTGCACAGTTTTTCAGAGAAATTGGGGAACACAGGAAAAATTTTACCCACAGATTATGTTGAATCGCTTGGATTTCCTTGAAAAATGTCTGGCACTGCCAACAGCTCTGGTCTGGTTTCCAGCAGTGGCCTGAAGCCTTGTTCAACCAGAAGGCTCTGAGAATTGATTGGCTGTGGTCTCCCTGATGGTGAACACTGACAGATGTTGTGAATCAGACGCTGCCATCTGTCCATGACACTCAGCTTTATGAGGGTCCCCTGGGCTTCACCAGCATAAAGAATCATCCATGGCTCCGTGAGGGCATTGCCATGGCAAATCCACAGAACTGCAGGAATGCTGGCTTTCCAGTGGGAAAGGCTTGGCGCACTTCAGGGCCCTGGGTATGCTCAATGGCAGAGTGGAAGACAAAGGTTCCTAACAGAAAGGTCTGCTCCCTAAAGTGCCAAATGTGTGAGGAGAGAGAAGAGGAGGAAGCTCCAGGTAGGTCAATGCAAAGGAGGAGGCAGGAAAAGTCCAGCTTAACACCCATCAGGAAAATAAATGCGGGTGCTCACAGCAGCTCTGTGAAAGTAGAACCACCATCAGATGAGAAAACCGAGAAACAGAAAGGGATGTGAGGTGTCCAAAGCCACTAATCTACACTCTACTCTCTGCTAGGGCAGAGACTGTGACTATTTTTTGCTCACCTTTGGATTCTTCACCAAGATCAAGACCAACTACAAAACTGACAGGTCTCAGTGTGAAGTAAAAATGAAAATGCAGAATTCCTACTCCATAATCATCACAGCAAGGGATGGTGGTGCACACCCGTAATCCCAGCAGTCTGGAAGCCGAGGCAGGAGGATCACAAATTCAAGGACAGCCTGGGCTACATAGTGAGATCTGTCTCAAAAAAAGTATTTCAGGATGGTAACAGCAGATCATTAAACGAAGTGTAGAGAACTTTGAGGCATGGAGTGCTGTATAACTAAGTCATATGCTCATGATATCAACCACAAACAGCACTGTTTCTAGCACACAATAACTAATCCATAACATTATGAAATGAGTGGATGACAGTAAGACTGGAAACCAGGTTTGTCTGTTTGATTCCAAAACCTGGATCCTTCCAGAATTCCTTGTTTCTTTCTTCCCAAATAGAATCTCCCTGTTGTTAGCTTTCTTACCTGTAAAGAGTTCAAAACAAAAACACGGAGTTAGTAGAAGAGACCAAAAACAAAAAAACTACCAAAGAATGTATAAGAATGGAATCTATCATTCGGAAGTTATAATGTTTTGTAAATTAGTTTTCCAGTGCCTCCTTTCTGAGTATTTTGTGTTTCTTGGATCATGACTCTGGTGAGTAGTATAGGACGGGCACACACTACCTGAGACCCAGAGTCCGGTGGAGTCCAGTGCTGTCCTCTCCAGGGAAGAGAGAGACCCGCCAGCCATGCTCTACTTCCCCAGTTAGCAGCATCCATGACAACCTTCAGCTTCTTACAACACCTCAGCACTATCCTAGCATGGTCGTACTTTTGTGCAAATGATTTACACGGCCCTTTCCTCCTGCCATACGTTAGCAAAGAAAGACTGAATTCCCCACTCTGAGTTCTTTATGTAAAATAGAGTAAGCATAGGAGTGACATTTCCCACAATGTGCTATCTTCCAGATCCCTGTGTAACATGTTCTTTTCCTCAACACGTGATCATGAGCTTATCATCACTGAGGGGAACAGTACCACCATCGATCTGCAATGCAGGGCAAACCACAGACTTTCTGGAGATCACTATCAGGCCAAGCAAGGAATGACTATCTATTTGGATGTGTGAACAAAAAGCACTCTTTTTCCCACCAGCAGGGTCTCACTAAATTTCCTAGGCTGTCCTCAAACTCACAATCTTCCTGCTTTTACCTCCCAAATTTCTGGGATTACAGGTGTGCACCACCACATATGACCTTGTCTTCTTTTCTGAGAAGAAATTTACCAGGTAACCGTCACATTCCTTAAGAAAACACCTGAGTAGAAATAGAGTACTTGGGTAGTACCTACACAGATATACCTGGTCTACATCTATGAAACAGGAATAGCCTCAGATTATTCTAAAGTGTTGTAGTAAGATTTAAACAAAGCAAAGATCCAAGCCCTGAGCATGGTACCTCCTACTTTATGGGTACCAATAAGCACCAGTTCAATATGCATCAAATCCCTTATGCTGCGGTCATGCATCAGAAAAGCACCTGAAATACAATCCTGGAGCAAGCAGCCTCTCACTGCTATAATTAAGTATGGTTGGTCTCTTCTGTCCACTCTCTGTCCTGCTCACATGATCCCTTTAGGTCTAATTCCTTATCCTGTGGCAGCAGGTTCACTGGACAGTTACTTTTCTTGTCGCTGGGACAAAACACCCTACACTCATAGGTTAAAGGAGACAAGGTTTACTTTAGCTCACACTTTGTAGAGGTTTTGATCCATAGTTGGAAGGCTCCAAGTCAGGGCAGCGTGGCACAGAGACGTGGCAGAGGAGAAACAGTTCATGGCGTGGCAGGCAGAAGGCAGCAAGTGGCAAGCAGCAGCAACAAGTACCCGTTCAAAATACAAACCTTTTGGATGGTGCCTCCTGCACTGAGGGTGGAGCACCTGTTTTCAGTAAATCCATTCAGCCACACCTAGAACTGTGCTAATTCCAATCAATGGATTGGTTTAATACCACACACCTTTAATCACAGAACCACTCACCCTAGATCCAGCCAGTTTTAAAAAGCCCCACTTATGAGCCTCTGAGGCTTTGCAGGGAATATGTAGATACAAGCCATAACAAAAACCCCACAGGTACTGCCAGCCTCCTAATGTGTGACAGTGTACCCCAAGTAGCTGGACAGTCCAAGATTGGGGGGCAGGTCCCTCTCCTCTAAATCCACAGAGCCAATCCTCTCTGTCCATCTCTCTTTAAATCCTTGACTGTACCAGACTGACCACAACTATCAATGGTTTTGTTTTGTTCCCAGCAGTTTTGCCTGCATCTGGCTCAGAAAAAATGAATTATTTGCCAAAATTTTAAATCCAGAGATCTCATACTAGGCATTTTCATTTCACAATATTCTCTTCTTTTGAAGTCAAAAGCTCTGACATCACTGGGCTGAGCAGGTAGATAGTTATACCTTCCAATGGAGCCAGCATGCTTTCCTACCACCACTTACTACACTTATACCCAGCTTGTTCTCCTGTGTTTTGCTTTTCTATTACCTGCCCAAACTCCCCAAGTTTGATTTCTCAACACTTAGCCTAAGCCTCCAACCTCCAGCCATTAGCCTTCTGGATAAACCTGAAGATAAAGAAACACAGACATTGAATGGGGGAAAATGAAAGAGAAAGAGAAAGAAGAAAATCCAGGGAGATAAAAGCAAACTAGTATTTTAAATCACTCTGCCTCAGAAGCATTAACTAGGATCAAGCTAGGGCCATGAAAGTATGTCTCTGGGTTCCTCAAACCTCTCAAAGCTTATATCCTTGACCTCAAGAGATTGAAGAAAGCACTGGCGTGCTACAGCATCTCAACAGCATCAAAGCACTGGCTGCTAAGGATGCCTGAGGAGCCCCAAAGCTAGGAGGCCCATACGACAGTGAAGCCCAGGGGCAGAAGAAAGATAGGACAGGGTGCTGTCCACAGGTCTCAGTGTCTCCAGAATGCTAACACAGGGCTTGGTGCCCAGTTGCTCAATGGGACCTGTCACCACATTCAAAGTCAAAACTCCCACAACCACATTTAATTCTCACAAGAACCCCAAGTGACCGGAAGAGCTGGCCTGTGTTATGGGTACAGACGCTGAGACTTCAGAAGATGAAGTTAACTTACTCTGGATCCTAATGCTTGTGAGGGCAGAGAGATTTGGGTAAGATCTCTAGGGGAAATTCTGAGCGTTATTTCACTGAGTGGAGGCCCCCATTCTCCGAGTGGCAACTGGTGCCAGCTAGGGAGCCCTTGACATCTTGTAGAGGGGGCACCCCGTAAACAGCAGCCCCAGGTGGTGGTCACAAAGGCAGAGGCCTGAGAGGCCTGGACAGTTCTTTCTCTCTCTCTCTCTCTTTCTCTCTCTCTCTCTCTCTCTCTCTCTCTCTCTCTCTCTCTCTCTCTCCAGTACTGAGGCTTTAAACCAGGACCTTAACAATCAGCTACATTCCTGGTCCTGGCTAGGGATGGTCCTGAGTGGTGGAGCACTTGTCTAGCATTCCTTTCGTTCCTTTTTTATTTTTATTTTGACACAGTCCCCTATTTTGCAAAGTTTCCCAGGCTGGGCTCAGACATCCTCTTGCCCCAGAGTGCTGGGATGACAGGTGTGGACCACCACATCCAGCTCACAGTACCCTTGATACGGCTGTGTCACTTGTGAAATGGGACTGCTCGAGGTGCTACTTTCATGAGTGGTGTTTTCAAACATAAGGCATAATGTCTAACTCCAGGATCATAGAATGTGTGACCTCATGCCACAGCCTCAGGCCAGGCCACACCTTTACATCAGGTTGTGCTGCTCCCCACAGCTATGGTGTGGCGCAGTCCCACAGAGTCCAGGCCTGGTGCTCTGTTTCCTTGGGGCAGAGGCTGTCTCTGGAGCTTCCCCCTGCAAGTCCCTCTGCTAGGACAAGACTCTCGGCCATCGCTCTCTCCTCCATTTTGTTCCAAGCTCTGCGGTGACAGAGCCCAGAGGACAGACCCATGGCAGGCCAACTTCATTACTTACACTAAAGCAGCATCTGGCTCTGATCACTCCTTTCCAGCTCGTGCAGAGCAGGACCAACCTAAACTAGAGGCCCAAGAGCATGATTTGATCAGTGCAGACTTGAACAGCTGCAGACAGTTGTGGTTCCCACAGATACATGGGGTCTCCTAGGCAAGGCTGAAACAGGCCACGTTAGACAAGGGGATGGAACTGTGGCAGAAACAACCTAGAAAGCAATGGTGGAAATGATGCAAAGCAGAGACTTTGGAAAGAAGGGAAACTCAGAGAACAAAAGACATTTTGCAGAAGAAAAGAAATCCTGAAAGACCCAGGCAAGCTAGACAACAAGGGCAAAACAGTCAGGCCAGGGTAGACATGGGAGGTGGCAACCCAGGCATCTGCCTTCCTGTCTCTCTGAGGCCCCAGTGACTTAGATTTTAGAGCCTGGTTTTGGACAGCACGTTCATAAGTATTTGAGACTCTAATTTTCCACCTTCTGGCTATGTGGTCTTGAACAGGGACTCCTTGGTTTTACAAGGGTGAATATGAAAATTCTGTCAGTTAATCTAAACCAAGCTCCTGGCAGCACAATGCAGGTTAAACATAAACTATTACAGTTATTACACTCCAGTGAAAGGCTCAGAAGTCGGCGTTATCTTCTGATCTCCTACCTTGGTGGTTTCTCAGGGTTGCACACAGGCCACCCTCTCTAATCTGGGCATAAGAGTCCTCTGCCTACTGTCTTCCACCGACTTCTGAAAGTCATAGCTCTCAGTGTGGCTGTTAGCAAGACTTACCTAACTTTCTGATGAATCCTACTCATCCTTCTGAGCCACTTCCAAGTTCTCTGCCTCCCCCAAACCTTCAGTGATGGCTCTTGGCAATTACTGGGATCAATCGTGAGGACCAGAAAACCCAGCACAAACCTTAGTCCCATGCATTTCTCATGCTCCCTGCCTTTATCACTCCTGGTCCATAACCTCCTCTGAGACAGGAGCTTTACTGTGAGGTTTGTGCTCCCAGTAGCAACAGGAAGACCGGCACACAGGAAGTACCCAGTGAATATTGGTTTAATGAATATACCTGTGAATGAATGGCCACCTGTATGACATCTCTAAATTCAGTCACATTTCTGGCTCCATGGGAACCCCTGATCCCTCCTATAGCCAGAACATAGGTCTTAGTACTCTAGGGTCTTGAGTGCACCTGACCTCAAAGGCTGCTGCCTCTAAGGGATGCTCAGAATTTTTAGGTGAAGAGAATATGTTTCCATTTTCTTTATTTCTTTGAAAAACAATCCAAAAAGGTCACATTTGAAACCACATATCTAGTTTCATTGTGGTTACAGGGCAGGCAGGGTGAATGGTTTATAAACGTTGGAAATGGCCTTCAGATTTAGAAGGTCTCCCCAGGGGAGCACACCTTGTAGCTCCCAAAGGCAGTTGCCTCTCCATGGTGCTGCTGCTACTGCTGTCTGTTTGTGGCCCAGCACTGGAGCTGCAAACCTTTCATGGTCCCTCCAAATGTCTGCCCGACCATCCCAGAGACACCACGAAGCCAAGACTTTGTACTATGTGTCACATGGGTGATAGGCTTGCATCCTCAGCCCTGCTGGGCAGGTCATCTCATCTGCAGAGTGGCTCCGCGGTTAGTATTTAAAGATGAGCCATAGGGTCAAGCCAAGGAAATGCCCAACTACAGGGCATGGAAGCCCTTTCTGTGTGCTGGCCCCTTGTACCCGTGGCCTGTTTTCCCTTCACACCAGGGAAGGCAACCTGAGGAAACTGTGGCCCTTTGAGGGACTTACCTGAAGTCTCATTGTTGGTAAAGAGCAGAGTCACAATTCAAACCCTGTCTGCCTCAGTCCTGTGTTCCAGGCTCTTCTCTCATTCCATGCTAAGCACTATTCTCAAGTCACAGAGCTGTACTTTACAGGTGAGAAAACTTACCAGTTAAGGAATAGAAAGTGCTTTCTTGGCAATGACCTCTGCCAAGCTGAAGCACAAAGACACATGAGACCCCGAAGAAGAGCTGATGGCAGGATACACGGTGTTTTTATCACAGCACATCTGTACAGGAGTCCTGGTTACAGACTGAAGAAGGTAGAGAAAGTCATTCGTTTATTTTCTGCAAATCCCTCACACACATTTACAATTCTTACAGCACCCAAGGCAGTTACAGACTGTTCCCTCATTTTTCTAAATGGGTAAACTGAGACAAGAGGATGGGTCTGAGACCACACGGACAGCAAAGCCTATGAGGTCCAGGAAATTGCACGACAAGCAGCCTGTCTTCCCTGGGACACACTCAGCCCTCTCTCATGACAGGTCCTGCTGCCTGAGGGACAGGCAAGCAGGCACATTTACATACAGAGCTGAGGAGTGTTGACTGGCTACAGTAACTCTCTTTGGGCAGTTGGATTATAATCTGCCAGTAGCGTGAGGCAAGCTGAGGTTTACACGTAGAATATCCAAGAAATCTGCAGAGCTGAGGCCGTGAGCTCCGTTTTCGCCACCAAGGCGAGAACATACGCTTTCATACATGAAGCTCATGATGGCCAAAGTAGGCTTTCAAAATCCAAATGTAGCTATGCAATTCCTGTCCTGAGACTCTTTTAGGGCTCCAACCCCTTCTGTCACCATCAGGATGTCCCGGCATCCTAGACAGCCTCCTTGCACTGCTCTTTGCAGCTCTCCATGCCTCAGCCTCCACCACAGCCACACTGCATCCCGGCTGGACAATCATCACACCCACCCCAAGCTCTCCACACACTGGAGGGTGTTGATTTCTCTGCTGATGCTGTTCCCATCATGTAATCAGATCCTCATCATGTAATACTGTGCTTACTACATTGCTCAGTTGTCACCATTACAAGCCAAAGGAATTCACACCACCACCCTTGATGCTCCCTGCCTGGCTCTCCTACAAACACACACAAACCACCCCCCCACTATAATTGTAATCATTTCTATAATTGTCACTTCATCTGCATATCTCTCCCACTGGACTATGAGTCTCAGGGGCAGAGACTGAATCCAATAGACTCTAGTTTCCTTCCTTTTAGCAAAGGGACCAGTCCAGGACCTACAAAGTCCTGACATGTTTCTCCTACAGGGATACCAGACTCTCCATTGAGTCACAACTGTTTATCTACAATCAACAGTGGAGACCCCTAAAGCTGGTTACTGTGTCCTTCTTGGAAGCCCTGCCAACTTGAATCAACTTGTAGTCACCAATTTTCATTTTACTCAGTGAATTTCCTCACTCCAATGCTACTGCCCAGGGCAGGGATGCTAGATATATCCTACAGCTGACAGTGACTCAAGCTATCTGATAAATATTGCATGCTCAGAGAAAAATAAGACACATCCCCCCCCACTTGGGGATCATACAGAAGAAGGATAAGAAAACAGATGATTCCCCCTGCAAAAAAACTGGCTACAGATCCATTTGTGTATCTTACAAGTGGCTATGGAAGGATAAAAGAAAGAAAGTAAGTCAGTCTGAGTAAAGATGTCAGGAAGACACCAGGGAGAGATTCTTAGAGCTGAGACTTGGAGAATGTGAAAGGATTAGGCAAGGAAATAGGTAGGTGTTATGGATTAAAAACTGATGGTCAGGGCCAGGGGTTTAGTTCAGTGGCACAAGAGCCTGCCTTGCAAGTGCATGGTCATGAGTTTGCTCCCAGGTGCCAAAAAATAAAAACCTGGTGGTCAGCTTAACACCAGCTGAAATAAATCAGTGTGAGGCTGAGTGTAGATGGTCCACCTAAGCAAAGTTGCCAGCATAGAGACATGGAGAAGATGAGTGGGAGGCATGGGTGTCTCTAAGTGTTGCTGTTTGAGCCTTTGGTTCTCCTGGAGGAGCTCATCATTACGAGCTTCACAGTGTGAGTTCGACCACTGTAATCGGAGGAGCTCGGGACCTTGTTGGTGAAAGTGGCTGTGGTTCACTCTGTAGAAGCTCTGGTCCTTACATGGAGCATCACTTCCGGGCTCCTGAGGGGAAGACATGTGCGGTCTAATCTCCAGGACAAACTCATCATGCTGGCTTTCTGGCATGTACTAGATTGCTCTTATCATCGGAGGAGCTCGAGACCTCTGTTTTGCTGAGGATGGCTGTGGTGCTTTTCAGGACAGCCGTGGTCCTTGTGGTGAGTGTGACTTCTCAGCTCCAATGTAGAACCCTCAACCTACCAGCCCAGCTCCTTCACACCGCCGGCTTTCTAGCTTCCACTGCTGACCTTTGGGCATTCCCAGTATAGATCCATAAAACAGATTGGTATGGGTCCTTCTCATGGGCTGTAGACCTCCAGTTGAACTTGTGGGAGACATTGTCATGGACTCTAGGTCTTCATCTGGACTCATGCAGGACATTGCTGTGGGATCTAGGCCCTTAGCTGAATATTATGGCTTTCAGCGTTATGGAGAAATTTCCTGCACTTTCTTGTATTAAATTCTGGGTGACCATCATAAAATAATATTATAAATTCCGTGACCTGATTCTAATTGTTCTCACAACCCCTGACTACAACAGCAGGGAAGGGCTTTATAAGGAGAAAACACAGCACACACAAAGCCTGCCACTGACTGCTTCTGCAAATAGGAGGATATTGCCACAATTGAAGCATGGATTTCAATAGGTAAAGTCTGCAGATGAGCCTGAGAGAAAAGCAGGCAAGTGGTAGATTGTGGGCACTCGGAAGGTACCTTATAAAGAGCTTGCATTCCTATCCTGAAAGTCAGCAATGGGGACTGAATTAATAGTATGACTCTTAGATACACACACACACACACACACACACACACGTGAAAAAAAAAGAAAACACAGGTTATCTGGAGATATTAGTAAATCAGCCTACATGTTCCTTTAAGAATTCTGATTAACATGGAATATGTGACTTTCCACTAATGCCGTATGTTATTGGGAGGATACTGCTTAACAGAATTGCTGTTCTGGATTGCTGGGGCATAAAAAGTAGGAGCCATAGGTATATTGCTATGGCTCCCTAGTTATAAACTCTCCAGAGGGTCACAGAGTGACTCACAGTAAAAGCATGAGTATGCCATGGAGTGCTTTCTCAAGATTGCCATCATCACCAAGAAAAGCCATATCCTCGTGGCATGAGGCCAGGGGCCCGGGCATCTGTTCAGCAGATGCTTTTCCTTCAGACTGGATGCAGTTGGCTTCATTACTTCCTGGATCACGCTCCCCTCCAGGGCCTGTGTGTAGGGAAAGGACGTGGGCCACCAACATTCCCATCAGTTCTTTTCCAATTGTCTGCCCAAAGTCCAGAATCCCCTCCACCTCAGTTTCCCTATCTGTCACACAAAAATAATCTTTACCACAAATCGTTGCTCAGTAATGCAGTACATGAGAAGCAGTTAGATAATAAGAAATCCAGGTTTTATTACTGACGAAGGCCAAATACGGTTTTCAGGTCAGCTTTTCAAAAGGGCGGAGAACAAGGTGCTGAGAGAGGCAGGCTGGCTTCTGACTATATGCTCCCCACTGTATCGCGTGCACAACCCTCAGCCAAGGAAGGTCTGGCACGTGGCTGGTCTTCCTGGCATGAACACCTGTCTGCTTTGGCCTGTGGGCTCATTGCAGGGATGACTGGCCACCCCCTGGGTGACACTTTCATCACAGCCCAGGATCTGGCCAAAGGACCCAAGGCTGGAGAATTAAAGGATAATCCTGGGAAGAGAGTATTTAAACAAATCCACTTTGAAGTGCAAGGTTCTAGTCTAGTCATTTCAGTGAAGGACAGAAGCAAATATTTCCCCAGTCCACTGCAAAAGGGCTCGACCCAGGAGGAAAAGGCAGACAAAGGAAATTACTAGATATGGCTATGGGAGTCCCTCTCACCTACATGGTCCTGGGCAGGGTTTGACAAACAGCAGTGATTCCAAGTTCGTTTTAAGTTGCAGTGTCAGAGATATGGACTTTATGTGGGAAGTAGAGAGAGGCTGCGAGGGTATTCCACCCATACCTCAGCAGGGTGACTCTTCCTGCCAAGCAGCACCAAATGCCCTTCCTAGGTTTACAGCAAAGAATGACCCCCTGAAGAAGGAATGCTTTTTCCAGAGTGAGTACAGATTTGTTTTAGATTAGGAAAAGGTAGATATCATTCGTAAACAGGGAATCTATGTACACAGCACTGTAGGAGCTATCATAGCAGGCAAAGTCAGCTTACCTAGAAACCAAGTGATAAAAGTAGAGTATTTCCAGAATCTTGTGTATGTCGTAAGCAAAGACTAAGTATTGGCTGTGGTTCGTGATGATGGCTCTGAAGCAGGAAACGTGTCTCCATACCTACTACCTTGGATAACATAGCACAGGACATACCAGTGGGTCCTTGCAAAAAGAATCAACATGGTACCCAAGCTGGCTTTTCCCCTACACTAGGTAAGCTCCAGTCCTGGAGGACAGAAGAGAGAACCTAACATCAGTCCCTAAAATGGGGCCCTTGTAGCTCCTTGACTCCACATACACAGACACACTATATTGACTTACTACTGCTGACATTACTGAATTACTACAATGTGAGTTACCAGTCAACCCTACCAAGGATTCTGTCACTAAGTGCTAAGACACAGAATTGTTCTTCACAGAACCCCTGAAGATAATAGTTCCCCACTTTTACAGATAAGACAATTGAGATTCCGCATACTCACAGACTTACAGATTCTCTCTCTAGAATCTGTACTCACTCTGGGTGTGCATAAGCACCTGCCTGGCAAATGTGAGGTCGTGAGTTCATTCCCTGGTACCACAAAACAAAAAACACAAATTAATGATACCTCATAAGTACCTGCCTTTCTTCTGGATAAAGGGCCTAAGAATAAAATACTGTAAGTAACTTGCCCAAGTTATTTCTGAGAATGCCCCAAATCCCACAACTGTTCTGTGATAGTCTTAAAATTCTAACCAGACTTCACCACAGTACTGTCCCGAGAACTTGGAGGAGGGGAGAGTCTCCATCGGGGTGATTCATCCATAACCCTAGTGACAGTGTATAAATATATCTGGAAGCGTCACTGGGTCCAGAAGCACCGAGAGAAATGCAATGACTCTGATTCCTGCCACAAGG